CCGCCCGCCTGCCTCCCCCTCACTTCCGCAGCCCTGCAGCCCCCCCTCCGCTGGAGCGTCACTGCACGTCTGGCCGCCTCGGATTCACATGGGCTTTGACACAGGTTCTGCAGCCCCGGGCCTCTCTGAAGTCTTGTTTTGTTTTTATTTTAAGTGCCCCTTCCCCAATAGTGGGCCTCTGTTTGGCCCTAATGGCCCTGAGGAGGGATCTGCAGGATCAGACCCAAATCCTTGCAAATGAAGGGCTCCTGGCCCCACAAAGAGAAGGGAGTTGGTGTTGCTTTGGTTGTTTTTCTTTGATCTCTTCCCTTCCAGCCCACTGTGGGCGAGTTCCCCATGAATAAATGCTGCACTGCTTTTCCCTGGGCACTCCTGTTGGTGTGATGGAGAGGCTAGGCTCTTCCTGTTCCTTTTCCCAGACAGGAAATTAAGCTTTCTCCTCCATTCGAATTTCAGGAAAAAACAAACAAACATGGTGTGTATGTGAAAATTAACCCCCAAAATAGCACACTTTTTTCATTTTATTAACCTGAACCTTTGTTTATTCTAGCAGTGGAGTTTTTTTAGGGAGGTCCTGGAAAAATACCACTTAACGTTTGTTTTTGGTGAAGGCTAACTTTCTTTTTCTGAGCCTCGGTTTACTGCCCTGTTAAGTAAGGGGCAGGTGGTGTTGATCTCTTTAAGACAGTGAGTCTGAGTTACTAGCTCTGTAGTATCCGAAATCCCAGAGTGAAGTTATCAAACACATTGGAGTTGGGGCTACCTGCTGCAGACAGAGAATGGTGTCTCATAACTACTCGGGGCTCCTGGAAATTCACACTTATTCCACCTTGTAGGGCCTATATTGCCTTTTCATCTTTTTCTTTATGATTTCATCTAAATGCGTCAGAAAAATTATGCCATGTGTTGTGGTTATCGACATGTCTACATAGAAAGCTTCTACAAAGGCAGTTTTTCCTTTTTGTAAGTCACAGTGGAAAATATTTTTGGATGTGGTATTCGGAAAAGCGATTCGGAGCTGTGTGAGCAGTTTTAATGATAAAAAAGCATGTAAACTCAGGGCAAAAGCATAAAAAACATGGAGTGTGTTTGGGTTTTCATTTACTTAATAATTTGAAGATTTTCTTTATATTTACAAATGGGAAGAATTGGTATTATACTGAAATAGGTGTGAAGATGTCTGTTAGCATGGAAGTGGGCTAGTTATAGTGCTAATTTTGAAAAGAGTATCCTGAAATAAGCTGAGACGGAAAGTAGGACTTGAATGAATAAAATTTTTCAGTGGAACTTTAGTTTTGCTAAGTAAGAACTGCACATTCTCTGAAGACTTGATTTTATGCTATCTTGTGGAGAGGGAAAAAACAGCCCTAAAACACGTGTTAATGTTTCTAGGGTATCTCTTAATTCATTGAAATATATTGTTTATCTTCAAGTTTTTAATCGTATAAGGTTCAATATACACCCTTGGGTAATATGATTGAGTTGGGGAGGTTGGGGTTTTTTACTATTAAGTAATACAATTTAACAGCCTGGTGTTTGAGATGGACAGCTTTTTAAAAAGTGCATCTCTGAATCAAACCTTTTAAAAAATGGTTTTCTAAGGCAATTAAAAAAAAAAACTATACACATATACACACATATATATAAGCTAGGTAAAATAATTAAAAATGAATAGCTAAAGTGTATAACTTGAAAAAATAGATACATCAGAAAATATAGATATAGATATATTTAGCCAGCTCAGTTTCTTGAAAATAGATTTCTAAATCTAAATATATATCTAAGAACATTGAAAATATTTTATATACATCATTACTATTGAAAATGTGATTTATCTTAACCATTTAAAAATCTCAGATTATTAAAGGCAATCAGATAATTTAAAATACATCCCTGTAGTCAGTTCAGACTATCTGAAAAATAGAGTTTGCAGTCTAACATATAGTTTGCCAAAGTCAGAATTTAAGAAGATACATTTTTATATATTATATATATCTTAATTGTGTACATTAAGAAATACATGGCATGTCATAAATTTCTGCAGTGTTTGGGGTGAAGTGTTACGTCTCTGCTTACCAGTGATTTACAGAAATAATGTCTGCACTTGCATACATTGACTGTAGGTTACAATTTTTTTTAAACATTTCTGGAAGTTGGGAACACATAAACATTTCGATGGGAAACCCATGTCTAACACAGTTTTTTGTTTTTTTTTTTAAACCTGATGAGAATAATTCGTGGTGTTTTTCACTGCACATCCTAGTTTATAAAAAATGTAAAACCATATTTCGGACTTGTCAATTTCAGAATCACTTAGCAAATCACGCAGAGCCAGAGCCGGCAGCCTTGAAAATGGACTTGGTATTAGGTAACATTAAGACATTATTAATTGATTAAGACAGTCATAATTAATTAAATTTGTTGATTTTATTGGCTATGCCCACTGAAATATTTCATAGTGAAATGTTAAGGCATCTGTTACTTATTTTAAGTACTTAAGACCCTCTGAACTAGAGGAAGTAAAATAGAGCAGAATGTTATTGGGTGTTAAGTCTAGTGATGAATATGCAGGGACACGTTATGCCATTTTATATACTTTTCTGTATGTTTGCAAGATGATAAAAACGAAATATACTTGTCATAGTAAAATACAATGATTTAAAAGAAACAATTTGTAAATATAGGTGTAAAACTCAGATCATTGAAAAGGAAGTAACTAAACTCTTCTCATTGTTAAAAAAAGAAAAAACATAACCTGAAATTCTAAGCTTCTAATTAAAAGAAAAAACTGAAAATTTAATTTTGGTGTATATATTTCTTAGCTCATATAAAACTAAAAAAAAAAACACAACTAAAATAAACAAGCTGTAATCCAGAATTTGCACATCTTTGAGGAAAAAGCTGCAGTTGGTTGCAAAGCGGTGTGTGTGTGTCTCCCGCCTGCAGCCAAGTCCCCAGAGAAACTGAACCTGCGCTTGTTCCACCCTAGCTTTAGGGCAAAGCTGGAGCTGGTCGGCGTGTGGGGGCTGCTGTGCGTGCCTTCACTTGTGCACAGGTTTGTGCCGCGTCCAGGCAAATATGTCCCACATATGCAGGATTTGAGGGTGATGTACAATGGCCAGACACAGAGTCCCCGGGGCCCTAAGAGTCACTTGGCTCAGCGTCTTCCTGGCAATGACCCCTCCTGCCTGCCTGCCTGCCTGGCTTGAGCGCTGTTTGACAGCACTGGGAGATTGCAGTGAAGCCTGCGACTGTTCGTCCCCAAAGTCTTTGCTCGTGTTAATCCCACTGCATCTGTGTCTCGTTCCCTTCCGGTGGCCCTGCCGACTTCTGCCCCCGAGGGTCCCCTCCACAGGAAGCCCCTTTCCGCTGGGTGATAACCCCGCGGCCTTCTTGTTCCCGGGGTTTTCTCAGGCTCAGCAGTCCTGCTCAGACAGCACAGTGAAGTCTCTTTCTGTGAACACTTCCCGTCTAGTTTTTCTGCATCTCTTTTTAAGAGTTCAGTGCCCAGGACTGAAGATAGCTCTACCTGGCGTTCTTGGCTGTGTTAAAAATCAATAAAATTAATTGCTGATAGACCGGGCTTTGCTTTGAGGCTCTCAGCAAAATGCAGTGGTTGGCATCTCGGTCGTTCCGGGGGGCCTCATCTGTTGATGCCTCGGCGGTGTGAAATAGAGGAGAGAGCCCGGGACTGTAAATCTGGGGACTTAGGGCTCAGTCTCTCCTGGCTGCTGGCGGAGAGTGCGTCTCTACACAAGCATTTAATCTTCTTGGACTTTTGCCTCGTTTGTAAATTGAGGGATTTGGGTTAACTGATCTGTTCTTGCCCTGTCAGTTCTACACTGTATTCTCAAGTTCTGCGGCTTTTTGTTTTACTCATTTATTTATGGATGGGGTCTCGCGATGTCACTTTTGCCCTGCCTATCCTCTCCGGTAGCTGGGCCAGCTGGGACTGTGGACGCGCACCATCATGTCTGCCTTTGTTAGGCTGGGCTGGGAATCAAACTCTGGTCTGCCATGTGGCCTCAGACTGCGGGCTACTGAGGCTGGCCTTCGAGGTCTTTTTCTAATGCCTCGTTTCTCCTAGCCGAGGCACGCAGCCTGAGCTTTACCCGGACACGGAGAAGTCAGGAGTCAGCAGCTGTGTTATGACTGGCCCAGGACCAAGCCCTAGCGGTAGCCCTGCACTACACAAAGGTAGCTGCCCTCAGACGGGCTGAGCGCGGGTGTAAGGCAGCCCCTTGCTCAAGCAGTTACAGGTCACTTGGCTGTCAAAAGCTGAAGTGGATTTATAAAGTTACGTGATCATAAAATGGCGAAGTCTTAAATGAGTGAACGGACAATAGATGTTGAGTTGCCATTGTGATCTGGTGAGATGCCGGCTGGGTCTGCGTTTGATCTCGGGGTGGGTCCAATGCGGCGTCCGGGCTACTTGGAGAGCTCATCGCCTCATCTGTACTCTGCCTTCAAATAGTGCATAATCTATAAATGGAAGCTAGAGTTAATTGGTCTTAGATTAGTTTGAAACTAGCACATTATTTTTAATAAAACATGTGCTTTAGGGTGAAAAGAAAGAATTGAGGCGTAACTATGGCTGTAAGAGACCTGAGGTCCTTCCTCTGTCTCGACTGCACATTAGCCGACGTTTATTGAGAGTTCGCCGTGTGTGTGTGTGTGTGTGTGTGTGTGTGTGTGTGCGAGAGAGACCTCCCGGCATCCTCAGAGTGCCGTCAAGTACATGGTGTTGTTTTTCTCATGATGGAGATAAGGAAATTGAGGCAGAGGAGTTAGGCAGTTGGCCCTGGGCTGGTGGTGCTGCAGCCCCACCAGGCAGACCCACGTGGGAGGGTTCCAGGTTCACATCTGGAGATATCCCCAAGCACACCCAGTGGCTGTGCCCCATCGGAGTCTGGCTGAGGCTGGGCGGGGAGCAGAGCAGCAACTGCTGGGAGAGCTCTGCCCTGCGCTTCCGGGAGAGATGACATGATCTGTTAATGAAGACAAAGAAAAGAATGGCCCACAGTGACCCACCTGATGGCTCAGGGGCTGCGATGGGAACTCTGGCAGATCCGGCTCCAGGGCCCTCTTGGGCTCGCCTCGCCTCGCCTCGCCAGAGCTGGTAGTGCAGACCCCAGAACCTGGAAGGACCTACTGTTTTATAGCCGTGTTTAAGTTGGGTGCAGAGACCTGTGCCTGTTTCCAGGAGGCCAAGGCAGCAGGCTGTTCACAGCCACGTGGCAGGGTAGCGAGATCCTGTCTGAAAGAGCCCGACGTGGCCTGCACCTGTCTCCCAGCCACTTGGGAGGCCGGGGTAGGACAGATACTACCTAGTAAGGCCTTGTCTAAAACAAAACAAGAAAACCAAAAGACACCGTCATTCTCCTTGCAATAGGTTAGCATCTTTTTTTTTTTTTTCCTTTTTTCTTTAATCTCACTTTACGGCCTCACGTAATTGGTTTTAACTTGCATACTGAAGGTTCTGAGTTTTAGTGTGGGTGGAGCCTGATAGAAAATTAGTTCTCTGTCTTTAGAATCCGAGTATGAAATCATTGTATATTTCTCTTTAGATCTATTTGCTTTTCTGCTTTTAAAGATTCCATTTGAGCCGTGAGGCTTGCTTGAGAAGAAGGGGACTTTGTTGGGTAAAAGCAAAGCATGCTTTTATTTTGGCAGTGCAGAAATAAAGTAAATCTTGCTATAGCATAGACCTGTGTTTCCACCTCGTCTGCTCAACTTTTCCAGACTTCCTGAGTCAACACAGATGGGTTTCCACTTACCTTTCAGCTTCATGTAGTAAGGTCTCCGGACTTTGAATCCCACACTCTCCTTGGAGTGTCCAGTAGGGCTGGATCCCATGGCATTGGCAGGTCAGGAACCCAGATTTAGACGTGAGAGAGAGTTAGAAGGTGCCGAGGTGTAGCAGTGTGCTTTCATTCGGCTGTGTTTGGTTTTTTCCTGATGGTAATTCTAAATGTTTTAATTCAGGTCTTGACTAAATTTCCTGGTAATCCAGTGGCAGGGGAGGTGGAGGTTAAAAAGCCTCTCTTTTTAAGTAGAATATGGAGGGTGCTTTGCAAAGATGGCCTTCAGGATTGAATTCCTGACATGGTGTTACCATAGCAAGTAATTCCCTGAATTGTTAATAAATTAGCCTGGGGGTGGACGGGGTGGAATGCAGCCCACCCACCTGGACTGTCCCATCCTACCATGAAGAAATTGTGATATTTGAAAGATTTGTTTTCTTATTTGTAAGAGAAACGTCTGCAAGCCTCGAATGTGATTCTGATTCCACCTCTTACCAACTAACAGTGGTGACAGGAGGTCGTGGTGCGTGGTCTGGATAGGTAGCCCAAGAGGACACGTCCATGCATAGCAGAGTTTGCACAGTAACTCTTCGCTCAGAGATTAAATGCTAGGGAGCTGCTATGGGATAGGAAGGAGGCCGAGATGCCGAGACTAGGGGTTTGCCTTGTATCTTGTTTTTTTTTTTGGAGAGATTTTCACTGTAGGGCGCGTGTGCTCGCCAGACAGACAGAGAGAGACATAGAGACAGAAAGCGAGAAATCACCCCCCAGGGGGGATGGTCACGCCGCAATTCCTTCTCCTCCATTCTTCTCTCGGGATCTTGGGCACACACGCACACGCGCCCGGCGTGAGTTTTAAGCCACCGGGTCCGAGACACGAACCGCGGTCGACTAAGTGGGAGTCCAGCGACATAGCCATTACGCTAACTGCTCCCCCTTGTATCTTGTTTTATTAGCAAAAGATGTCAGCGTTCTTTTGCTGAAAATGTTAAGCTTTTTAAAAATAGAAAGGTTTTCCTTGTGTGTGCACACGTGTGTGGTGTTCGTGGTTTGTTTTTGTTTTTAGACTGGATCTTGCTGTGTTTCTATCCTCTGGCCTCAACTCCCGGGTAGCTGGGACCACAGGTACCTGCCGCGGTGCCGCTTCGCAGGCTGACTGGGAACTGAGCCCAGGCTTCCCACGTGCCAAGTGGCAATGTCCACGGTGCTTGCTGCACCAGTGGGCCTCAGGGGGATTTCTTACAACCGTTACCAGGTTCAGAGTGGTGACTCCGAGCGACTGACTTCCCTTGTGACTATCAGTTCGTTTTTACAGCAACTTGTGGGGGGTTTGTTTTGTTTTTCTTTTTAAGATAGCGTCTATATCCTCCTGCCTCAGCCTCCCAACTGGGATAACAGGCTGGCGCCACCGTGCCTGGCTCGTTTCTTTTTTTCTTCCTCTTCTTTTTTTAGACAGGGTCTCACATGTTGCCCAGGCCAGCCTGGAGCTTAGGATCCTTTCCCTCAGCCTCCTGAGTGTGCATTGCTGTAGATGTGCACCTCTCTGCTGGGCTTCCAGGGTGGGCCTGGATTCGAACCCATGGGACCTGAGCCTGCAGAGCAGCATGCTACCGCTTGTAGGCCCATTTTCTTGTTTTCAAGTAAAAGACAATGAGGTGCGGTTTCCATCTGACCCTGTCTTCCCTGTTAGTGTCTTCTAGTTCTGTGACCGTGGCAGGACTTGTGTCTACGTGTAGCTCTCCGTGTCCTGTGACCGTGGCAGGACTTGTGTCTATGTGTAGCTCTCCGTGTCCTCACAGCAGATTGCAGAAGGGACAAAGGCTTTTTGCCTTTCCGCAGTGTCCCCGGTGGGGTTTTACATGGGGGAGTACACGTTGTTTATTATGTCCATCGCCTTCGCTGTTTAATACTACGCTGGCCCTGAGAGGCTAGCTTCATTTGTGCTATTAATCTTTAAATAAGAAAGTTATGTTTTTTATTTGGTAAATTTACTGCGAACCAGAAAGCACAGTTGATTATTGGAACTCACCAGTGATTACTTCAGCGATCAATACTGTGAAACATAGACAGCCTGTCCTTAGCGCTCGTCTGCAGACGACAGTTCCCTGCCGACTGGAAGCGCGCTGGGCTCGAAGTTGGAACTGAGCCCTCTGGCGCCCGCCTCTCCCTCCCCGCAGGCCTCGGAAACGGCTCCCCTTGCCCTGTATTTTGTCCTGTTTGCTTGCTGTTACCACTGCTTTATCAGTAACTGCACTTTCTAGACTATAATAATGTAGGCCAAAGAGATGGTAAGTTTTTCTCTGACTTGTACCACCTGTGTCTTTCTCC